CCTCCTCGTCCTCCTCCTCCTTCTCTTACTCCTCGACCTCGTCCTCGTCCTCCTCCTCCTGGTCGTCCTCCTCATCCTCCTCCTCCGCCTCCTCCCCTCCTCTTCATCCTGATTATCCTCCTCGTCGTCGTCCTCCTCCTCTTCCTCCCCCTCCTCCTCCATCCCCGTCCTCCTCCGTCAACATCTTCCTCGCTCGTCTGTTTGCCCTCGTCCTCCTCCGTCCCCGTTTGCCTTCGTCCTCGTCCTCCTCCGTCAACGCCCTCCTTCTCCTCCTGCTCACCCGCCACCTCCTCCCAAGTACGCAGCTTCCGTTCGCCGATTGCGCAGAACGCGAGAGGTTTTTTCCGGTGGTGGAGCCCCAGGTCGGCTATGGCACGCGTCCGCGGGCAAAGAACACACAGGCGCAGTGGGACGGGATGGGAGCGAGGGATGGGATGTCAGATGTGGCGCGATCGCACCAGGCATGCCTCTCTCCACTCTCCTCTCTCCTTTTCCTCCTCCTCCTCCTCGTCCTCCTCGTCCTCGTCCTCGTCCTCGTCGTCGTCCCTCCTCCCCTCCTCCTCCTCCTCCTCCTCCTCCTCCTCATCCTCCGCAGCAGCAGCAGCACCACCAACACCACCACCACCACCACCACCACCATCATCATCATCATCATCATCTCATCATCATCATCATCATCATCATCATCATCAGCATCATCATCATCATCATCATCATCAGCATCAGCATCAGCATCAGCATCAGCATCATCATCATCAGCATCATCATCCTCATCATCATCATCCTCATTATCAGCATCAGCAGCGCATCAGCATCATCATCACTATCACCATCATCATCATCCTCATCATCAGCATCAGCTCAGCATCATCATCATCATCATCATCATCATCATCATCATCATCATCATCATCATCATCATCATCATCGTCATCATCATCAGCATGATCATCATCATCATCATCATCATCATCAGCAGCATCAGCAGCATCATCATCATCATCATCATCATCATCATCATCATCATCATCATCATCATCATCATCATCATCATCATCATCCATCATCACCATCATCATCATCACCATCATCATCATCATCATCATCATCATCATCATCATTCATCATCATCATCATTCATCATCATCATCATCATCAGCATCATCATCATCATCATCATCAGCATCATCATCAGCATCAGCATCATCATCATCATCATCATCATCATCATCATCATCATCATCATCATCATCATCATCATCATCATCATCATCATCATCGTGTTCCTTTCCCTCGTTGTCTTCCTACTCCTCCTCCTCCTCATTCTCCTCGTCCTCCTCCTCCCCCTCGTCCTCATTCTCCTCGTCCTCGTCCTCCTCCTCATCCTGCTTCTCTTCCTTGCTTTGTTCCTCCTGCTCATCCTCCTGTTCATCCGCCACCACCACCACCATCACCTCCTCCTCCTCCTACTGCTACTACTACTTCTTATCCGCTCCAGTCATTCACCAAGAGTATGTGCGCCATGGGAATTCACACAACAACAATGAAATGACAGAGCTCGCCACTGTGACGAATCCACCTGTGCACGATCATGTTGCCTTGAGGCAGCCCGTCTCTCCTCGACAACTGTGTTGGACATGTCCAGATTGAGACCAAACCGTGCCAGCGATACTGCAATTCTCAGCCAGGGGCCAACGACCTCTACAGAGGCAATGTTCTGCTTTTGTTCCAAGCAAAACTGCCTCGCCCTTGGCGCGAGGACGCCCACCAGGGCCTGGGGCAAAGGGGGTCTCCAAGCCCCAGGTGGTCCAATCCACGCGCTGCTTGCAACCGCAAGAAAAAAGCAGCAGCACGCTTACGCTGACGAACAAACGCGGTGGTCGACGGTGAACGATCGCATGGATACCTTTAAGTCGGGCGTGTCCCCCTACAAGGGAATCTTGGGCGAAAGATGAAAAATACGGAAAAAATACCCCCGAATGGTAAAACAATACTCCAAAAAATAGTCCCCAGTCTATCTTTTGATTATTTTTGCATATACCTCCTGTAGAGGGACAGGCCCGACTTAAGGATACCTCCCCAGGCGCAGCCTCCACAGGCTGCACAAAGGAAGACCACACCGCTCTCGGGAGGCGGAGGCGGCTGCCCCGATGGGAGAAAAACTCGGGCCACCTGAAGCTGGTGGCCCTGCGGTGATGCAGAGGATGCAAGCTCATTCGATGTCTCGGGCAGGGGTGTGGGGCGTCTCGGCGATCGATCCTTGATCTCTGGCGGCCTTCCTCTTGTCCTGCGAGGCACGTCGGCTTCAAGGCCGCCCCCCCCGCCCGCTGCCCCGAGGCCTGGAGGTAAGGAAAGAGCATCGAAGTCCCCAGACTCAGCCATCAGGACCTCGCGAATGGCTGCCCATCCAGCAAAGGAACGCACAACCTCCTATCCAGCATCTCTTTGACTGGTCCTGGATCCAGGTGCAACGCGGCCCCTCGGCCAGCATGCGCGCCGGCAATCTCATTGCCGGCCCAGTGAAACCCCGAGATCTGTCCGTCTGTCTGTCACCGCACAGCAAGGTAGGAGGGCCTTCACCTTCGCAGTCCGCGCACGCCGACACTCCCAGCGAATTGCTTCCCAGATGTAGCATCTGGGGTTCGGGCGGTGGCAGCTTCAGCTGACATTCAACATGCAATCTACCGTTCACTGGCAGTCGCTGTGGAAGGCGGCTGCGCATCTGACTAGACCACTGGCCGCCGCGAGGACCGCGGCGCCCCCCACCCGCCCCTGGAAGCTAAGGCACCACGGGGCCGCTTCACATTCCGCGGCGATGAGGCCCCCTCACCGCTGATTTGGACCAGACTCAAGCCCACCCTGCGCGATCGCGGGCATGCGGTCTAGATTGCCGGCCCAGCAGACAACATGGAACCTGTCACACAGCCGCACTCGGGCCTCCGAACCCAAGCAGTCTCGACTCCTCCTCTCAGACAGGCCCCAGAACTAGCTCCAGCGGGAGCGGGAAAGGCTCGCTGGCAGCCCTCTCAAGATCCTGGTCGGCAGGCAGAAAAACTGCCGCAGCCTTCATTATTCCTGGAGTGACATGCGTTGGCCCAGCTGAGCTCCGACTGCGCCACAAATCGCCGGATGACCTGCCACAACTTCAAAGGGAACCCGCGTCGGCCCCGCCGTGCCTGGCCCGTTCGGCCCGACGCCGCCGCAAATGGGGCACCGGGGACCTGAAAGATGACCTGCGACTCTCCGCCCAGTCTTCTTCGGGTGGCGGAGCCTGCGGGAGTGAACGAGCGGCCGCCTGCGAATTGGAATGGCTCGGGTGAGGTGTTCTTCCAGCTTGCCTGCGCGCCGCGTCCTCCTCCTCCTCCTCCTCCTCCTCCTCCTCCTCGCTCCTCCTCCTCCTGCACGTCAGACGAGCTGCCCGCGGCCACGGAGGCCGCCCGCTGGGCCTGCCTGGGGCCTGGCGCTCGCGAGCCGACCGCCTCTCCTGCGAGGGCCCTCGCGCGCGCGGCCGGAGGTGCTCGCCGCTCTCGCCGCTGGCGAGAGAGAGAGAGAGAGAGTTGGAAGGCGTGTGCAGGGGAGGTGGGCACTGACCAGACCTGGCCGAGGTCTGCCGCCGCCCCCCTCCGACAGTGCTCTGAGGCACACGCCGCGGGGGGGGGGGGGGGGGGGGGCGCAGTGCGGCGCGGGCCCAGTCCTACAACTTGCGCGCAACACAGCCACTCGTGGACGGCGTTGTCCCCCAGCAGCGGGAGACCTGCCTCATCTACTGGCGGCTAATATGCTGCTGGGTGTCTTTACCTCCTTGTTAAACCGAATTCTGGGCCCAGGTCTGCCATTGCTCCATCTACGTGAGGACTCTCTAGCTACAGCCTTCTCAGCACTTTGAGCCACCTCCTCAGCTAGCCTAAAAAATATACCCCACCTTCCATCGATGATACCATCACATGTTAGAGTTCGAGGTCTTAAGCTCTGGGTCCACTAGGTATTGTATAAGATCGTGTTTGTGGTCTATGAGGTCCTCCACATATCCTTCAGGAAACGCTTCAGGAGCGTTCCAGAAAAACACAAGCTCTGGAAACCAGGCTTCCCAGCGCTCTCCAGGTCCTAAATGCAGATGTGCAGGTGGCGTGCCACTTACGCTCAATGATGATATGACGTTTGACCGTGACCGTCTGGAGGCCTTGAGCCCTCCCCACATATCTGGACCTTGCTGTGCCCATGATGCCATTCTGCTCGCACATGTTCGATTCCATATGGTCTAGCCATTCACTCCAGGCTGCCTCGAACTTAGGCCCTTCATGAATCTGGCCCCCCCACATCCAGTTTGACTCCGAGAGCTCTCGAATACACCCAATTGGCCTTTCGGTTGGGAACGGTATCCAAGTATTCCTGATGCTTCCCGTCTGATCGAGCTTGGCTCCCTGGAGCTCAAGAGTACCAGTACGTGAGGGAACTGGGGTGCCGCGCACAGGCCAGCCACTGACTTGACAGCCTTGAAAGTGAACGAACTGCTTGTTGCATGTTGTCCCGCTGGAGCCACTACTGCTGCACCTAGCAGTTCACACCAGCGACGCAGACTGTCCGAGCTAGCATCCATGATAAAGTCCTCCCCCCCCGCTCACGCATGGAGCACTGAGGGTTTTCAGGAACTTCGCCAGACTTCCCAGGAGCTGCAGGTTGAGTCCAGAACACCCAGCCCCCATGTACCCATATAGAGGAATCCTATGGATGCCAGTTGGCCAAGGTCAAAGGTACTGCCTGGCACTGCCCCGGCCTCTGACTCGCTTCTTCACTCCCGCTAGCACTCCAGCCGAGGTAGCAAGAACGTGTTCACCGTGCCTCCTCCTCCTCCTCCTCCTCCTCCTCCTCCTCCTCCTCCTCCTCCTCCTCCTCCTCCTCCTCCTCCTCCTCCTCCCCCCCCCCTGCTCGTTCTCCCCCTCCCCCCCACTTTTCCGGCGGCGACGGCAGCGGCCCCGACGACGGCGGCGCGCGGCGGGCGCCTCGTGCCCGCAGAGCGTCCTCGACCCGCAGATCAGGCCTCGCTCTTCCCAGCGCAGGCCGGAGGGGATGGGCTGCTTCGCCGACTGTGGGCGCCGTCGGGTCGTCGTTGCAGCAGGCGGAGGAGGAGAGGAGGAGGAGGAGGAGGAGGAGGAGGAGGAGGGAGGAGGAGGAGGAGGAGGAGGAGGAGGAGGGGGGGGAGGAGGAGGTGGAGGAAGAGGAAGGGAGGGAGAGAGGGAGGGAGGGGGGGGAGGGAGAGGGGGGGGGAGGGGAGAGGGGAGGAGGGAGAGGAGGGACACGGAGGGGGGAGGTTGGGAGGGAGGGAGGGGAGGGAGGGGAGAGGGGAGGAGGGAGGATCATGGAGGGAGGGGAGAGGAGAGGAGGAGAGAGGGAAGGGGAGAAGGGAGAGGGAGGAGAAGGAAGGGGGAGGAGGGAGGAGGAGGAAGAGGGAGATATCGAGGAGGGAGGGAGAACACGCACTCTGCCTCTGAGTGATCCTGCTGCTGACACCAGGCCGCTCTACCTGTGGCCGGCGGGACGGTGCGGGCGGGACAGGTCAGCTCTGCTGGCGGCCCCCATGGATAGAGGACGACAAGGACGACGAGCAGGAAGAGGATGCAGGAGGAGGGAGGGAGGCCTGGGGTTCATGGTTCACCCCTGGGTCCGCACAGGTTGATCCCGAGTCCCACCAGCCCTCCTGGCGGAGGTGGCTTAGAGCGGTTCCTCTCCCAGCCCCTGTTCTTCCCTTTCGGAGACGGGCTTACCAATCCCCCAACTTGCTTGGTGGTCTTGGGGGGACAAGAAGCGGTTAGAGCTTCCAAGATGACCCAAGATGGCTCCAATATGGCCCAGGAGAGCCCAAGATGAACTCCAAGGTGGCCCAAGATAGCCCAATATTAGTTACCTGCAGGACGCCTCTAAGAGGTCCCAAGACCGCTCCCAATAGCCAGGGATCGCCCAAATGATGCCCCCAAGAAGCCAACACCACTCAAAACAAATATATGTGTGCAATGTGCTTGCTTTCTCGACTGTTCGCTTCCGATGGGCTTCCGAGTCCTCCTGATAGCTCGAAGATGGCCCAAGAAAGCCCCATCAGGGGCTTAAGAAGGCTCCAAGAGGGCCCCAAGAGCGCCCGAGTGCTCCATGAGCGCTCCACGACGGCCCCAATAGGCAACGTTTCGGGCTTATGAAGGGCAAGGCTAATCCGCGCCGTCTACTTCGCTCAAAGCCGAACCCTTTAAAAAACCATGGCTGTTTGAAAGATGCTGGCATCTCGAGGACATCTCGGAGGCATCCTTGGGAGGCTCTTGGGCCAAGATATCTACACGATGGCTTCGAATAGCTCCAAATAGCCTCCAAGACAGCACACCATGGTCCAAGATGGCTCAAGGTGTCCTCGGACATGACTCCAAGAGGCCACAGAGACACCCCGAGATAGCACCGAATCGGACGCGCTTCTGCAATACCGCACGGGAGAAGAAACATCAACTACTTGCGACCACTGTGACGGGAAACACGTGCCCACTCTCGAGCACCGCTAAAGGGTTTGTCCTGCCACTAACAGCCTTCGCCAGGGCGTCCGGGTCCCGACAGCTGGTCTTACACGCAGGCTGGGATGGTCCACAACGGAACTTACAAACAAGGAAAACTGCAATAACTACACTCGACCTGGATAGTAAGGATGCGCGGTAGGGATGCAAGGGCCCTGGAACGCCTTGTTGACGTTTCAGCAGACCGCCGAAGGATGCCGAATACCAAAGGGGCAAGGATGCAAGGGTAGCCTTGGAAAGTTGCCCCATCCTTACTTTCATAATTGACTGTACACGCAGGCTGGGATGGCCCACAACGGAACTTACACACAAGAAAAACTGCAGCAACTACCTGGCTTCCAATGGTACGCGCCATGGCTGGGATGGGGCAACGGGTTCCACGTGCCCTCTGCCACGACACACCCAGGGGGGGGCAGAGTACGAAGAAGCACGTCCCCAGAATCCAACGAGGAGACTTCATAGTCACGATGGGACCAACAACAGTTGTGGACGATTACCGACGGGACCACACAGACCCGGGCGGACTGTGGAACTGCATGTGCTGCGCTGTATTGCGTTCGGTGGCAACAGATGGGAGCCTCCCATACCATCATGTCGGCTCGTGCGAATCGACGCCAGTCGACGCGAAGTCGACGCGAAATCGACGCTAAGAGACGCTAAATCGGCGAATCGGGCTGTCCCATCAACTCCCAGACGCGAATCGACGCTGAAGACGAAATTAGGAGGGCACACCAGGCTCCCATGAATTGCTACCGAACATTACTACTGTTTGGCCAGGAGGGACCGCTCCCCCACTACGGTCGCCGAGGTCTTCCCTCACGGCGCTGTTCGACCAGCGCATCCGGCTCTGCCCCCTGGAGCGTCCCAAGAAGACCATCCGAAAACCTTCTGTCGAGAAGCATGAAGACAGCATGTGCTGGCGCTTCCCCCCTGTTCGATTCCGATGGGCCTCTGAGGCCTCAAGATGGATGGCCCCAAGAGCGCCCCAAGAGGGCTCCAAGATGCGACACTTTGGGCTCTGACGGGACAAAGCTGATTACGGACTTCCTGTCTTCGTTCGATGCCCCCGAAGATGATCCCAGGAGGGCCCCCAAGGCGCCACATCAGAGGGCCCCAAGAAGACCCCCAGAGCCCCCCAATGGCACCAAGAGGTCCCCAAGAGGCTCTTGGAGCGAAAGACCCACGAAGGTGTTCATGAATGGTTCCTGCCGTCGTCGCCGTCCTCCTCCTCCTCCTCCTCCTCCTCCTCCTCCTCCTCCTCCTCCTCCTCCTCCTCCTCCTCCTCCTCCTCTCCCTTCTCTTCCTCATCTTCTTCCTCCTCCACCTCCTCCTCCTCTTCTTCCTCAAGCTTGCTCCTCCACGAGCATGACCTTGTGGAGATCGGAGGGCGTCTGTTCTGCAGGCAGTGCAGGAGGTCGGCCCGAACGCCCGAGGCTCGTCGACAGTTGGCGGGGGGCACCGACCGATGGTGCCGACCGACTGCCATTCACACCCTTCGGGCCAAGGTCCTCGAGGCTGCCGCCGTCAACCGCCTGTTGGGGGCGTCGGTGGGGTCTGCGGGTGCTGGGCTGTCCGGGGCTGGGGCGTCTGGCGTGGGGGCGGGGGGGCCGTCTGTGGACGGGGCCTCGCCTGGCCTGGGCCCTGTGGGGTCGTCTGGGGAGGGGCCTGTGCCTGCCCGTGAGGGCGAGGCTGGGGCCCCTGGCGGTGCGGCCTCGGGCTCTGGGGAGCCTGAGGCGGGACCGCCGAGGTTCACCGCGCCTGGGGGACACGACGTTACCGGCACGGGTACGGTCGTCTGGTGTCGGCGGTGCAGGGCCTACGGGTCCGTCAGGGCAGGGAAGGCGCCTTGGGGCCCCCTGCCGTGACCCCCAAGACTTGGCCCCCAGCAGGCGGAGGGCCCTTTGCCGCTTGCTGGGGGGCAAGCACCCAAAGTCTGGCAGGACCCTGGAAGGGGGTCACTGACTGGGCTTTACTTCCTCTTACTAGTTTAGAGCTGTGTCTGTGAGCAGACGCTGCCTCGTTAGCTCGTTCCTCGTTCCTCCTCTTCCTCCTCCTCCTCCTCCTCCTCCTCCTCCTCCTACATCTTGTTAGCCTCCTCCTCATTACTGTCAACGTCCATTGCTTTCATTATGTTCCTGCTCCTGCTCCTGCTCCTCCTCCTCATCCCTCCTCCTTATCCTCGTCCTCGCCATCCTCCTCCCATCTCCATCCTTCTGTTCCTCCATCCTCCCCTTCCCCCTTCTGCGCAGTCTCCTCCGCCTCCGTCAGCGGCAGGCCCAGCAGCCCCATCCCTGGGGCATGCTCGGGCTGCTTCCGCGCTTGGGCTTGACGGCTGGTCCACCAGTCTTTTCCACAGGATGCAACTCACCTTGTGGATGCCATGACAATGGACACTCTAACAATCCTATCATTGAATTTAAATGTCGGAAAATGTCCTAAACATGTTTCCAACATGTTGTTTACATGCTTAAAACATGTCTATCACATGTTTTAGACATCTGGAAATGGTTTGGCAGCACGCTTCCTCTCCATTGATCGTCCCCCACAAAACTAACCTTCCCTGAATGGGGCAACTCGCCTAGTACAGAGCGATCGTGTCTGGGTGGGCTGGAAGGAAGGGGTTAACATCAAGAGCTTTGCAGCAGGAGCCGCCCCAAGACAGGCCAGACAAGGCAAGGGGTCCGCGTCTCACGCGCGCCGTGTTGAATGGATAGGGTCTCCGTGTTTGTCCTTCACTCATGGGGACGGGATTGTTCGTAGGCCTCCCCCAGGGCAGCGGGTGCACATCTCATGGGGTTACGCTCACGAATCACATGCGTTGAGGTTTGACTCGGGGTTGGAACTTTGGTGTTGCACTCAGTGCTGTTGTTTCGCGCTTCAGCAGCTTAAACAATTCAGGGCAATCGGAAATAGTACATGGACCCGATATCCCGAAGTTGATGGCCGAAGGTTTACAGTAAACTCATGATGGCCAGCAAGGTAGATAACTGCTTCGATCAATAACCAGCAATGTCGCTATACCCGTAATTCATCTTCCTCCTCCTTTTTTGACACTCGACCACCCTCAGCGTGAAGCTGTGGCGTTTGGGATGCCAGAAAAAAAAACACACCCAACAAAAAACGTGCAAGAAAGACTCGGGTCAAAGACACCTGGCGGGTGCTGCGGAAAATGTGGCAATTCGAGCACATGGGAACAGTATGAAGGAGAGTAGGCGCCCGCCTGGTGCAACGACGCTCCCTTAAGTATGATCACGAATCCACCAAAGGGAAACTATAAAGTGATAATTAAGAACGTTAAGTTTAGGGGTGAGTGTCGCCTCAGCACAGCATTGACATTGCGCAAGGCAATGCAATGTTTGGGCTGCTGTCCTGGACTGTATGACCTCGCCCTCCCATCCAGATGTGTACCCGTCCACTCCAATCCTGTCCATTATGAATGTCTGCGCCATCCAGTGGCACAATACATGGCAGGCTGCAAATGTGAGACGGGTAAGCCTAGGAGTGAGACGCACAAAACATCCTAGCCTATGTAGATACAGGCTTGCACTGTGCAATTAGAATGGAGGGTCGGCCTGAAAGATGCGAGTGTCCGTGCCTCATGCAGTTTTCGGGTCGGGTTGCTGCCCAAGGTCTTGCTGGTTAGCCCCAAACAAAGCTTTAGCCACCGACCCAATCACCCGCCGATGCAACATCCCTCGTTTAACCATCAACGCCCGTTCCCACCGTAGGAAAAGAATGCCAGTGGTGTCAATGCCGAACTGTGCCAGGAGCTGCTGAAGTAAGCTGTGGCGCGGAGAATGTCACTAGAGGTGACGCAATATTGCGCACGCTAAACTTGTGAGTGGCTGAGGCCTGTAGCAAAATGTGAGGCTGGCCTGCCAGGCTGGCCTGTTGTGGTTGAGCTGCTCGCGAGGAAGAATAAGGAGGGCAAGCCGAGGAGTGAAACACACAAAAAGTGGTAGCATGCGTACATACAGGCTTGCAGGGCGCAAATCTAAAGTTGGGGGGACGGCCTGCACCACACCAAAACGGGTCAACGCCTGGCAACTCTTGGGTTGCAGCCCGAAGCTTTGCTGGTTGACCCCAAAACAAGATGTAGACTCCGACCACCATCGTCCGTCCCACGTGGGCACATTGCCCACGGGTCCGAAACCTATAAAAAAGGGCCAGGCAAGGTATCAATGCTGAGCGGCGCCAGGGGCTGACGGTAGGCTGTGTTACAGAGAGTGTCACTAGGTGGCCATGTATGGCGCATACTCAATTTGGAGTGGCGGAGGCCTGCCGAAAAGTAGAGTAGGCTGGCCTGCTAGGCTGGCCTGCTATGGTTGAAGCTGCTCGTGAGGATGCGTAGGGGGGGGGGGGGCGTGAGAGGAATGTCGTGGAGAGAGACGAGTAAGCTGCCGAGGTGGGCGGGCAATAACTAAGTAAATTCAATGACTGCGTGTGGCAGTTCTTGGGTTGCCGCCCAGGGCTGTTTCAGTTTACCTCAAACCACTTCGGTCCAAGGACCCTCGTATCTGTTTGTAATGGTCTTTTCGGGTTTAACACGAACCCATGGTGTCCATGATGCCTGTAGACGAGACGGGTGCCTTCGCAGGTTGCAGTTCTTGGGCTGCTGCCCAGGGTTTTACGGGTGACCCCCTAAACCAAAACTGTCCTCCCCATCCTCACAACGACAACATCGCCCATCCTCCCCGTCTGTAAGCTGACAGCATGCTGCAGCTAATAGAGCAACCAAACAAGGTATGCTAGCTGAGCGGTACCATGAGCTGAGTGATGCAGGCTGTGCTGCAAAAGAAGTGTCGTTAGAGCTGACAAAGCATGGTGCGGATGGCAACAATTGTGAGTAAGTGTGGTCTGAAACAGAAACTATTAGGAAAACCGAGGTGTATGATGTGATATCCAGTGGCACAGCGTATGGCATGCTTTAAAAGTGAAAAGCTGGCAGTAGCAGTTTCTGGGTTGCTGCCCAGGTTTTTGGTTGACCCCACACCTTGGCAAGACAGCAGTTGTTGGGGTGCTGCCCAGGGTTATGGTGTGCAGAGAGGAAAAAGAACGGTGTGAGGTACGGCGGGCAAACAAAATGGCAGGTTAAGTGGACTAGCAAAATTTGGGCTGAGACCCAAGGTTTTTTCGGCGAACACCAAACCAACGAAAGCTGTGAGGGAGTAGCCGCCAGCGTGTCAGGAGAATGGGGGAGTGAAAGCAGCAACAGTGAATCGAAGGACGGAGGAGGAGGACGGGAGTAGCGGCCACGATGGGTGTGAGCTGTATGGTCTGAGTAATGCACCAGCACGTTATGAATGAAAGAAGGTCTCAATAGAAGTCATGAGTATGCCACTTGAAGGAAGGTATGCGAACCTTGTCGCCGTAGCCCATTGGCCCACATGGACAGCTCATGTACCCTCTGATATAGGGTTTGCTAGGGCAGCATAGTGTCAAGTAAGCATACAACATTAGTGAAAATCACCGTTTGAACCACGAGCCGAAATGGATACGGACTCCTCATCCTCCTCCTGCCCTCCTCCTCCCCGCTCCACCCCCTCCTCCTTCTCCTCCTCCTCCTCCTCCTCCTCCTCCTTCATCCCGTTTCCTTACAAATCAGCCGACCCAACCCGCGTGTGTGAGAGGCCCTTCGACGCGAGGCCAGCCCAACCCAAACTGAAGTACGCCAGCCTCCTTTGAGTCGTCGTCGTCGTCGTCGTAAGGGAGATCGAACAAACAGAGGGGACCGAACAGTGTCGAAATTAAGTCGAAAGGAAGCCCATTTCCTTTGGCAATGCCCCGCGGGGGTGGGAGGTCCTGGGAGGGGTCTCGGGGGGTGGCCCCGGGCACCCCGGGGGGTCCCGCGGGTTGTGACCCCTCCCCCGCTGGGGGGCTTTCCCCCTCGGTTTTCGCCTCCCAGACACCCGCCCCCGAAGAGACAGACAGCTCTCCTTCTCCTCCGGCTGCTCCTCCTGCTCCTCCTCCTGCTGCTGCTGCTCCTCCTCCTCCTCCTGCTGCTGCTCCTCCTCCGCCTTCTCCTACTCCTCCACCACAACCTCCTCCACCTCCTCCTCATCTGTTCTTAGTATTATGACATTAACTTTATCAGTATTATTATTATGATTCGTAGTAGTATGATTGGCCGTCTTAGTCTTACAATTATTCTTATTATTCAGATCGGCAATATCACTATTCTGATCATGTGTATTATCAGTCGTATTATTCGAACTATCATGCATACTCGCATTATGCATACCATTAGAAATATTATTCGTGTTAGTCGTGTTGTTATTAGTATTCGCCTTATGCGTTTTCTAAATATTAATAGTAGTCGCAGTCGTAGTCCCATGAATATTATTAGTGTGTGTGTGTGTCTTCTTCGCCTTAGTCTCTCTATTATTCTCGTATTACAACGATCTTACTATTCAAATTTATAATATGCATCCTTGCCGTCGTGTTCGTCTTCGTCGAAATCGTGGTAGGTGTAATCTTCGTACTAGAAATGTGTTACTACCATATTAGTATTCAGTATTGTTAGCAGTCGTCCTCTTATGTGTCGTAGTATTATTACGTGTTCGCACTATTCTTCTAAGGTATAAGCATCCCTCCTTGTCCTCCTCCTTCTCCTCCTCCTCCTCCTCACCCCCACTCCTTCTCCTCCTCCTCCTCCTCCTCCTCCTCCTCCTCCTCCTCCTCCTTCGTAGCCATTTGGGCTCGAGTGTTGCTGCTGCAGCTGCACACGCTCTGCACGGCGGCGCCGTCCTGGCGCCTCTCTCGGCCGCACGGCGCGCGGCGGGACGCGGGCGGCCCGGCGTGGCGTGCGCGTGGCGTGCTGTGGCGTGGGCGCGGAGCAGCCATCGTGGGAGGAGGAGGAGGAGGAGGAGGAGGAGGAGGAGGAGGAGGAGGGGTACCCTGGACCCTGGGCCTCCTGTTCGTCAGGTGCTTCTTCGTCTCAGGTCCCCTGACCCCTCGGTCACTCCTCATGATGATGGCGACTATCTTCCAGTCTTTCGTGTTGCCGCCAGCTTAGCTTTGCGCGGGTTGGCGCTCGGCCAGGATGGCCGTGATCTGTTCTTTGTGGAGATAAGGGAGCTTATCGATGAGGTACGGGATTTGTCTGCTAAGGCGCGTGCTGCTGCTTCGAGCTCGGCTCGAGCTTCTTGGAATGACTGGCTGAAAGTCGGTCTGGATAACGGGGGCCGTAGGGTCCACGCCGCGTTGAGAGATCCCGAGCGTTGGTCCCCCACCACCACTCTGTCCTCCAGGGGCTCACTCATCGCTGATTCGAAGTCTTTATTGAAAGCTGAGGGGGATAAGTTTCATCAGATTTGGGGGGATGCCGACGGGCTGGGGGTTAGCGACCAGGTTCTGTTTCAGCCCTCCACCCTCCTCACCCCTGATGAGCTTCGGGGTCTCTCGAGAAGATACAAGGTTTCAAGCGCTGTCTCTATGGACGGCTTCCACTGCCGTCATTTTTCGGTGTTGGATGATGATGGGCTTCATGCCATGAATCTCCTCCTTTCTGTCATGGAGGCGACTGGCCGTCTGCCTGGGTCTTGATGGCTCTCCTGCCCAAGGCCTCGGGCGGCTTTCGCCCCACTGGCGTCTTCCCCGCGCGGTGCAGAGTGTGGGGGAGGGCGCGCCGCTTGGAGGCGGTCAGGTGGGAGGCGGCCCACCCCCGTAGATATTGGGCGGCTGGCTCCAACAGGGGCCCCACGGACGTTGTCTGGCGTCAGAGCTTTCGAGCGGAGACGGGCACCAGGAGGGGGGTGTTCTCGGCGTCCCTTCTTTTAGGTTTTCAAGAAATACTACGAACACATCGGGCTTGTCTACCTCTGGGGGCAATGCAAGCGTCATGCTTTTCCGCGTTCCCTGGCCAGGTTTCGCATTCGAGCGCACGCCTCGGCTCGATGTTTAGCGATGGGGGGTCGGGTTGCTGGGCCGTACTTCGTCGACAGAAGGCTCATTGCGGGGTGCAACTTCGCCACGAGTCTGATCCGTCTTTGCGATGCCGGCCTTCGACGAGATCCCTCGGTCGCCGATTCTCGAGTTCGATTTGCACATCGACGAGACGTGTTTGAGTAAGACTGCTTATTTTCGTTCCGTCGTTGCAAGCCTTGTGCTAGATGCGAGGACCTTGCACGATGCCACCACCGTCACCCTGGGCTGCGAGCTGGCCATGGACAAGATTGGTTTCGTTACCAGTCGCAAGCCTCTCAGCGATGCACTGGAGGCCAAGCTCAGGCCCTTAGCAGGTGCTGGCAAGGCCAGTGTTGTCAACTTAGGCATTGATTTTGCGGCTGGCAAGCCGATCCGTTCTGCAGGTGGTGGCCGTGGGGCCAAACTGAAAGCTCGCCTCGCTGCTGCTGCCAAGAAGAGCCGACGCCTCGCCCGTCTGAGCAAAGCGGTCGGGCGAAAAGCTACCAAGATGTTTGCGGCTGGCCCCTTGGCTGGTGGTGTTTTTGGGCCCGAGGTTTACGGCACTTCCGACCGTGAGCTGTTGACTCTCAGGAGAATGGACATGAGCACCATCAAAACCAGGTCCCAAGGCCCAAGGCCGCTCTCTTTCTGTATTGTCCCTCTTGGAGGGCGACCCTCCGTGGCGTGCTGCGGTTGCCCCCATCTTGAGATGGGCTCGTGAGGTTTGGTTGCGGCAGACGCGCGCTTTCGAATGGTGCCTATCTTTCTCCGAGTTGAGAGAAGGATGGGCCGCTGGTTTTGCTCTTGATGATCTCTCCAGGGGTAAAGCCTCTGGGCCTATCAGTGCCCTCCGTATGTCGCTTTATCGTTTGGGGTGGACTATGCCCGATATTTGTACTCGTCGGGATGATTTCGGCAAGGAGATTTCGTTCACGTTGAACTCCCCCCAGATGGTCCGCTCTCTGTGTCGTGACGCGGTGTTCAGGAACCTGGAGCGGGTCTAGTGAGAAGTTTGGTTGTGCACACCGTCTGTGTTGGGATGTCGTTACACATTGTCTTGGGCCCTCTAAATTTTCTAAGCAGGACAATGGGCTCATGAGGGCCCTGGCTTGCAACGGCATTTGGACGGCCACTGACGCCGTGGCCGCTGGCTACCTCTCCGTCTCGCCGCACTGCCCGCACTGCGGCTTGCATGACACGCTCCACCATCGCCTTTGGGTCTGCGAGCACGTTCAGAAGCAAAGAGACGAAGTGGTCCCTGCTTGGATTCAAGAGGCCGCAAAAGACACATCGTCCCCCTGACTTTGACCGCGTGCTTTTTCTGCATGGTGCGTTCCGCCATCCTGGTGACCTGGTGCCTGGCCCGTGCAATGAAGGTGGAATGGAATTCAGATGGCATGTGGATGTGCTCCCTGCTCCCTCCCCCGATTCCTCTCCTGTTCCGTGTGGTGACAGTGTCTGGGGCCATGTTTTTATAGACGGTTCGTGCCACAGACACGTTGTTCGCGAATTGTCTAGGAGCGCCTGGGGCCTTGTTAGTTATGGTTTCCGACCAGGGCCGTTTGCTTGGTGAAATCTCGGGACCTTTGTGGGCTCCCTGTCCCCAGACGTCTCAAGGGACCGAAGTCGGTGCGTTTGTTTGGAGTGCGTGTTTTGCCTCAGCTCCAACGGACCTGTATATTGATTGCAAGAATGTAGTCGGTCAGGGTTCGTTGCCGTTGTGTGAGGCCCTCTCGGGCAAAAAGCCGTATGCTGGTAATATTCTCCAAGCTCATCACCTGTTTGGCCCCAACCTTCGGTCATGTAAGAAGGTCAAGGCCCTGACGAAGAGGGCCTCACAACGTTTCGTTCGACAGGGCAATTGTTTCGCTGATGTGCCCGCCAAGAGTGCCCTAGCGAGGCACCCTGCGGCTGATCCTGTCCTGATTGATGAGCTCAGTCGCTGGTTCAAGATTGCCATGCATGTCATGAAGCTTGGTGCTGCGGTTTCGCTAGAGTGGCCCAAGCTCGAATTCAGAGGCACTGTGCGCGCGCCTCCGCCGCCCCCGAAGCCCGTGCTTGTGCCCGCCCACACGTGGAAGAGGATGAGTGGGTTTTGGCGTTGCGAGGTGTGTTTGAAAGGCTCGGTCGTGGGAACAAAGGAAACCCCTCCCGCTTCGGCCTGTCCTGGACGCTCGAAGCTGGACCAAAGAGTCCTGGAGCGCCTGCAGCACAGTGTTGTGGCGTTTCCGTGCTCAGACGCGTCTTTCCTCTGGCTTTGTCTCAGGTGTAAGTTCTATTCGAGTGGCGCTCAGGTGGTGGGTCTCAGTAAAGCCTGCAAGCCCCCCACGGAGACTGGCCGAAAGAATTTCAGGAGACTCAAGAAGGGTCTCCACCCAGACAAGCCAGAGAAGTCACTGTCGATCTGGACGATTTGATTCCCCTGATGTAATCAAAAGGGTTTCCTTTCACTGGCGTCTCGCAGTGGTGATCTGAGGCAAGGGAGTTGATCCCAAAAAGAGGAGGAGGAGGAGGCCGCGGCCATCATGCAGGCGTTGGCAGGAGGCATGGCTGCGCCGCAGGCGGGCGTTGCTCGCCCTCATCTTGAGGCCAGCGCGCAGCGCCTGGTCTCTGGCGGTGCCGAGCTGGTCTTAGCCTTCGGGGGGAGCACCCTCGCGAGGGTGCTGGATCGGCGGCCAGCCTGCTGCGCCATCCAGTCCTCGGTGACGAGGTCCTCGCCCAAGCAATGCGATGGCCGGGGGCCGAAGGCAATGTCGTGCCGAGCACCGTCGGCTCGGCGGACGCGCACGGCACGGCCACCAGCTCCGCGCGTAGCAGGGTGCCCGCCAGAGTGGGCACGAGCTACTGCGGCGACTCGGGCGCAGAGACGTCAAACGTAGAGACGTCGCAGGTGGAGTCTGGGATAATAAAAACCGCAGAGATGAAGCCCATGGCCGAGGCGAAGCCCAGGTTCATGGCCAACGTCGAGTCCGCGACGATCAATGAGCAGGTCGTCGAGGTCAAGGGCCCTGTCATGGACCTCAGGGCGGAGGCCATCCAGGTCGGCTCGCGCTGCCAGCTGGGCGTCCAGCGTGTCTCTGCCAGTATGGAGGTGGAGGAGGAGTCCTCCTTCGATCTGGACGCCCTCGCCTATGAGAAAGTCACCCTCCGGCGGAGGCGGCCTCGGCGGCTCCGTGCCCACGGAGCTCGAGGAGCATGGCCTGCAGACGTTGGACGGCGAGCTGGCGGACAATGCGGAGCAGTGCTTCGGAGAGCGTGGCATTCAGACGGTGGGCCGCGAGCACGAGGAGCGTGGCAAATAGACGGCGTGCTGCGAGCTGGGGGCCAACTCGGAGGAGGCCTCGGGGATGCGAACGGTGCCTCGCCGAGGTGGCGGCCGAGCTCAACGAGGAGCGGGCCGCGGCATGGGAGACCACGGTGCAGCTGGCGGAGGAGGTGCAGCGACTCGCGGCGGCGCTCGACGAGAAGGAGCTGCTTGTGAGTGAGGCTGCGGCTGAGCTCGCCTGCGCCGCGTCTGACCTCGACGGCGCCGGGAGGTTCAAGCAGCATCGAGGCAACATCGGCGCGGGAAGCGCAAGCAGGGCAAGCAGGACGGCTCCCAGACCGCGGACGGTAACGACCTCATGAGCACCTTCGAAGGGCAGCTGGTGCTTGCTCGACGCTCACGGGGCTGGCTCAGCACAGGGGCGCCGTGCTGTCCTGAGCGATCTGAATGTTCCTCTCGGCGTGCCTCTTGAGAATGCCTCCACAGACTAGTCCTTTGTCGGCTCCGCGTCGGAGCCCCTGCAGCCAGCCGTTTCTCGCGGTCGTGCCGGCTGCGCCCGATGGACCGAGTTCGGCCGAGCGCGTGGCAGGAGCGCGCCTGCTCCACGGCTGTTTGAACGACCAGGGCATCGGCCTAGGCTCGCGTGCAGCCCCGCGGGGCTAAGCGGCCCATCCCCCGCCCCCAGCCAGCGGCAGAGATGCGACGAAGGACGGGCTGCGGATGTTGGGGTTCCCGTGGCATTCAGCCGAGGGGGTCCCCAGGACAAAGAGCAGGGTGGCCTGCTCAAAGAGGATGTCGTCGGCGAGCGTTTGTCCTCGGGGTGGGGCCTGTCTTGGCCTCTGGCCGGTCTTCGGCCGTCCAGCCAGGGTGACAAACAGGTCCTTTCGGATGGGCCCTCCTAGAGGGTGCTCCCATGACCGTCGGACTCTCTCTCTCTCTCTTTCTTTATTTCGTTTGTTCGTTTGGTTTCTCTCTCTCTCTCTCTCCCTCGCTCTCGTTCTCTTTCTCTCTCTCTCTCTATCTCTCTCTCTCTCTCTCTCCCCCTCTTTTGTTTCTCTTTTTTTTTTTTCTCTCTCTCTCTCTCGTTCTCTCTCTCTCTCTCTCTCTCTCTCTCTTTATTTATAAATACGTACAGGAACATCAGCACACACACACACATATACTAGAACCATCGCACGCGCTTCGCGCGCGCTCAAGTTCTAGCTAGGAGAATCGACATCGTCATCATCGCCATCCTCATCACCATCATATCCGGCGTCATGGTCAGCGGCATCGTCATCATCACCATGACCATCACCATCATCACAATCGTCACAATCACCACCATCAGCAGCAACATCGTCATCATCGCCATCGTCGTCATCATCGTCAATATCGTCACCTAAATTATCCACATAATCATCCTCATCATCGCCATCGTCATCATTATCGTCGTCGTCGTCGTGATCGTCGTCATTGTAATCGTCATCATCATCGTCATCATCTTCATCATCCGCCCACTCCTGCATCACAAGCACCATAAACAGCATCGCCACCATTATTATCAGCATCGGCGTTCTCATCCTGACCATCAGCAGCATCATCATAATGATCGTCAGCATCACCATCCTCAACGGCATCACCGTCATCGTCATCATGATCGTCAGCATCACCACCATCATCATCACCACCATCACTCACATCACGATCACCATCATCAACATCATCATCAGCATCATCATCATTCCCACTGTCAACATCATCATTATAATCTTCTTCCTCCTCCTCCTCCTCCTCCTCCTCCTCATCATCATCATCATCATCATCATCATCAGCATCATCATCATCGTCGTCGTCAACTTCATAATAATCGTCATCATCGTCATCATTTTCGTCACCGTCGTCTCCGAAGCTCCCCCGCCGAACTCGAGGATATCTCCGCAGCGTCTTGCATGCCGCGTGAGCAGTATTGGGGATTTAGGTTGTGGGCCTGAGGCCGCCCTGCATAATCATCATTGTCATTATCACCAGCGTCTGGAAGCCTTGCGAGGCCCTTTCGGCGCCTTTTGGAGGCCTCTTGGAGCTTCCTGGGGGCCTCGAGGCCTCTTGCGGACTCCTGGGGGCCTCTTGGGAGCTTCTGGTGGGCGAGGGCTCGAAATGTCAGTTCGTGTTTCCCATCTGGGGCTCCTCTTGGAGTGTTCTGGGACCTCTTTTGGGCCGTCTTGGAAGCTTCCTGGGCCGTCTTGGGGCCCTCTTGGGCTGTCTCGGTGGTCTCTTGGTGGCCTCTGGGCTCGTCTTGAGGCGATCTTTCGGGCCTCTTGGGCCGCCTTGGAGCGTCTGGAAGCCGAACTGGGGAGAACGCCCAAACCCTTCAAAA